AGAACTAATTACCTGGTAAAGTACACAGTCGTCGGCGTACAGGCGAACTTGGGACCTAATATTGCTGGGAAGGTCATTTATAAAAATCAGAAATAAAAGTGGACTGAGAACGGAGCCCTGGGGGACACCTGATGTGACTTTTACGGCTGAGGACGACTTGGAATTGAATGAGACGAATTGAGAGCGGGAGTTTAGAAAGCTTGCTAACCAGTCAATCAATTGAGGATTATTTAAAATTACCTGTAGTTTACTTAGAAGCTTGCTGTGTATGACGGTGTTGAAAGCCTTCAAGAAATCTATAAATAATGCATCAATTTGATTAACAATGTCTAAATTACTAATAATATAATGCGAAAATTCCACCAGTTGCGTTATTGTGCTGAATGCGCGACGAAATCCATGTTGTGTGCAGGACAGAAGATTATTCGTTTCAAGAAACTCAGTTATGTGTTTATGAATGATGTGTTCGAGCAGCTTTCCAGAATTGTAGGTAAGTGATATGGGTCTATAGTTGGAGAGGAGTTGTCTGTTTCCTGAATTTTGCAAAGGCAGGACCTTGGCTAACTTCCAGGACTCGGGAACTGTACTTGAAGACAAAGATTTGTTAAAAATGATGGTCAAATAACGTGAACACTACCGAGCACATCGCACCAGAAAGCTATTCGGAATACTATCAGGGCCACTGCACTTCTTCGTATCTCAATGGAGAATCAAGTTTAGGATACCATCTGTGCTTATTACCAGATCGTCGACGGACAGTTCTGGATTTGAAGTTCTAAGCGAAGGGAGAACATTATTGTCGTTCGTGACCACTGACTGAAAATAGGTATTGAACGCATTGGCTATCTTAATGGGGTCTGAAACTGCCTTGCTGTCTAATATAAAGGAAACTGTATCAGTTCTAGCGGCGTTAATAGAAGACCAGAATTTGCGCGGGTTAGATTTTAATAATACTGGAAGTTCAGTTTGAAAATAAAAGTTTCTAGCACATTCCATTTGTTTACGCAGATCTATCACAGCAGTGTTAAAGCGACTGACAACGTCTGGATTACCTGTCTTTTTCAAACGGCGCAGACGACGAACGCGACGTGAAGTTTGCAGCAAGCTGCGGGTTCATCCATGAAATCTGCAGATTTATTTTTTTGTTCTTGAGAGGAACGAATTGATCAATGCATGACTTCACGACATGCTCAAATGTGCTAACTAAAGTGTCAACATGACCGTGACTACAAAGTGCCTTAAAAGAATCGAAGTTCGAAGCTAGCACATTTGTGATAGAGGCGTCATCAGCATGAACGAAATCATGAAACTGCGTAACGCTAAGCTGCTGTTTAATTAGACGGGATGGAAGCGATATCTGCACAGCTTTGTGATCAGAAATGCCATATGACGTCGCACTGAAATGCTGTTTGAACTGAATCAGAACTGAGGAAAACGAGGTCTAGGAGAGCGTTGCGGCGTGTTGGAGATTGTACAATTTGAGTGAGGCCCAGGGTTAAGGACATAGATACGAGTTCCCTAATAATACAGATTTCTTGCCCAGTGCAACTTTTTGTTTGCCAGTCAATACCCAGTGCATTAAAGTCCCCCATAAAGACAAATTCTGAGGCACCGAAGTCATGTTTGTGCACAAATGTGCTAAGCCTTTGTAGATATTCTAAGGAAGAACCTGGTGCACAATAGCATACACCAACAATTATTTACAGTTTATTTAAACATAGTTTACACCAAACTAGTTCAACATCAGGTGTGTCGGGGAGCACAAAAAATTTAATGTCTGAACGAATCAGTAGTGCTACACCACCACCTTTGCCATGTGATCGGTCATTGCGTACTGCTACATAACCGGGTGGGGTAAATTCACAACCAAACACTCCATCATGTAGCCAGGTTTCCGTTATGGCCATTAAATGGAGAGTACGACGTAACAAGGGCAAGTAAAGGCAAGAGCTTTTTAACAATGCTTATTCTAGCATTTAAATACAAAATACTTAGTTTTTGAAAAATTCCTGGCAGTCAACGAGAAGGTGCTTTAGTTTTTGAAGCAAACGATTCTTTAATGGCGCCGGTAGAATCACGCTTTAAGGAATCCGTACTATTGTCCTAGATGTAGCGCACGTCATCAATATAGGCATGATCATACCGTAGTTTTACTCTGGATCCGCTATCTCGATAACTGACAGTTGCGTCCCACAGTTTCTTTCGTAAGGTGCGCACATACGGGGATAGATTTTCAGTTATCTACAGACCAGACCCTTTTAGTTTCGAAACACATGTCAGGACGCGCATTTTTTCCCTGTTATCAAAGATTTTCATTATGACTGGTCGTGTTCTCTCTTCACGCGATCTGCCTATGCGATGACATCATTCAATATCTGGGCATCGTATCTGAAGACGCTCAGATAGCACCTGTGTTACAGCATTCAGCAAAGAGTCGGTATTTTCATCACAAATTTCCGCTAAGCCATGTAAAAGAATATTGTTTCGGCGTGAGCGGTTTTCTAAATTATCTGACTTTAAACTGAGTTTGGTGACAGATTCTTTAAGTGACGCGATTTCAGAGTTAAGCGTATCGTTTGTCACATCACAATTAGCAATAGCTGTGTAAGAGTGTAATGCAGATACACGAGTCTCAAGGGCTTCGAACCGCGAGTTAAATGCTTATTTGATATCGGCAATATCCCTTGCAATTTTTTTCTGGCCAGCCAGTAGTTGCGCAAGAAGATTAGCCATGTCGGTTGGGGAACTAGTTGAACTGCCAGTGCCACTCGCCACGGGGGTGTTAACATCGGTTGTCTTAGCAATATTTGCTGAAGGGACACCTCTAGGACCGGGGTTAAGTTCGACGTCACCACTCAAGAGAAGGCTAGAAAAATGCAAAACACGAGAGAAACAAGGGACAAGACTGTTCGGGCAGAACAGCAGCAATAATAAGCTGTCATCGGAACGATAGCTATAGGCATCAGGAATATAACATACCTGTGTGAAAAACAAGCAGCTATTTAGCGACATTTCGGTGTTGCCGCTGTTCTGCCCACTGATGCGAGGAGCCGCCGCGATGGCCTTTATAGCGTCCCGTGTTGACGTTGCTGACCACGTGTTAGCGATGAATGGCTTTGAGTAGATGACGTCGGTCATGAGCAGAACACTTGGGAGTCCATCGCTAAAGCCGTGCAGCGTGCCAGGGTCAACTTCAAGCAGTGTGGCAAGATAGACCGAAGGCACACAATCGACAGCATCGTCGTGTTGCAAAAAAAGGCAGCATGGACGATAAGGCAGCGTCACCGCTGAGCAATCTATGGTAGAATCCAAAAAGCTGCGTGAAAAACAAGCAGCGATTTAGCGACATTCCGGTGTTGCCACTGTTCTACCCACTCAAGGTTCTCTGCCCCTCTTCCGGTAACATCGGGTGTACCGCAGGGCTCTGTCCTTGGTCCTCTTTTATTTCTAATTTACATTAATGACCTTCCGACGCACGTATCTTCAAATTGCCGCACGTTTGCTGACGATTGTGTCATTTATCGTACCATCACCGACCCTTCTGACCAAATGTTATTACAAGACCTTAACCATATTCTACAATGGTGTGATGACTGGCTTATGACCTTGAACCCTACTAAATGCAAACTAATCTCATTAACTCGCCGTCTAAACACTTTTCGCTTTTCTTATAACATCGTGCCTGTCGAATCAGTAACCACGTACAAACACATTGGAGTCACTCTATCCTACAATTTGTCATAGAACACTCACATTAATAAAATAGTATCAACATCTAACAGAACTCTGGGCTTCTTAAAACGCCAATCACGCAGCGCTCCGTGTCATGTAACACTACTTGCTTATACATCATTAGTTAGGTCTAAGTTAAAATATGCTACTCCCATTTGGAACACGCCTGAAGTTGGTCTTGCAGATTCCCTTGAATCCATTCAAAATCTTGCAGCTAGATTCATTCATGCTTCATACTCATCCGACATCAGTCTTTCATCCCTCAAAGCCGCGTGTAACTTATCACCTTTATCATGTCGCCGACACATCGCAACCCTCTCAGTATTTCAAAAGTTTTTTCACTCTCCAGGTAACCTCCCTCCCTACATTATCCCTGCAGCTCACGTATCTCATCGCACCGGCCATGCGCTTCAAGTTTTTCGCCCACGTGCCCATACTAAAACATTTTCTGCTTCTTTTTTCCCAGAGCAGCAAAATACTGGAATGGCCTTTCCCACAATATCGTCGCAATCACCTCGATATGAAGCTTCATGCATAATATTTCAAATGTAACTTCCCATTTATCATTGTGACAAAAATATCGCTTGTATGTTACCCACCTCTTATGTAATACCCTCTCGGAGGTCTTTAAGGAAATAAAAATGATTGAATGAATAAATAAATGAATGAATGAATGAATGAATGAATGAATGAATGAATACGCAGAAACCAAGGCGATTCCGAGTGGCACTGCAGCTGAAGCGGCCCAATTATTTATTGAGAACATTGCCCTCAGACACGGAGCTCCCAAGGTCGTCATAACAGATAAAGTAACTGCGTTCACAGCTGAGCTTCAGCACATGGTGCTTACAGTCAGTGGCACAACTCATAGGAAGACGACATCTTATCACTCACAAATTAACGGGCTCACTGAACGCCTCAACAAGGCTATTGCAGACATGCTTTGCGTGTACGTCGACGTGGAGCACGATAATTAGGACCGAGATTTGCCATACGTCACTTTCGCGTATATTACGGCCCGCCAAGAAACAACAAGAATGACTCCTTTCGAACTGATATATGGCGAAGTGACTAAATGTTCGGTGCTATGCTTCCCATGATTCCAATGATTCCGAAACAGATGCCACAGGCTTCACATAGAGTGCCGAGGAAGCGACGCAACTAGCCCGAGTCAGAATAACCAGCCAACAAGAACGCGATGCCCATCGATACAATCTTCGTCATCGATTTGTAGTTTATACACCAAGAGAAAGTCTGGGTTTGGTCACCTGTGCGACGGCGAGGCCTGTCGGAGAAACTTCTGTGCTAAACTTTGGACCGTGTATAGTACTTTGCCGCCTCAGCACCGTCTCCTATGAGGTTGTTGCTGATGGTTCATTTGCTCCCAAAGCCGTCAGCGTCTGCTTGAGACTGTGCACGTGGTGTGCACGAAGCCGTGTCATTCGAACAGATGTGGATATCGACCAGCTAATTGTTCATCGAATGCTACTTGGGGAGCATTGAAACAATGTTCTCTCTCTTGAGGGAAGGTAATGTCGCGTTTCTGTTTGTGCCCAGCTGTGTGCTGACGTCGATGAAGACGACGACCGATCTGCTAGAGAGGCGCATCACGAGAAACAGAAGAAGAAGAAGAAGAAGAAGAAGAAGAAGAAGAAGAAGAAGAAGAAGAAGAAGAAGAAGAAGAAGAAGAAGAAGAAGAAGAAGAAGAAGAAGAAGTTCTTTCGGTAGAGCCTATTTTCGGTGTCTCCGGGAGGACAGTGTACTTCTGTGATCGTTGCAATAAAGCCCCCGTACTTTGTGAATTGCGACAGTACTATCAGCTATCAGCTTGACTGATATGTGGGGTTTAACGTCCCTAAATCGCCATATGATTATGAGAGACGCCGTAATGGAGAGTTTCGAAAATTTCAACCAGCTGGGGTTTTTTAACGTGTACCCAAATCTGAGCACACGGGCCTACCGTGCAGCCAAATCTGAGCACACGGGCCTACATCATTTCCGCCTTCATCGGAAATGCAGCCACCGCAGCCGGGATTCGATTCCGCGACCTGCAGGACAGCAGCCGAGTACCTTTGCCACTAGACCACCGAGGCGGAGTATCCATCAGCTTTGAGACATCGCCTGTTCCATGTGTAGCCAGCCTCACTACTATGACCTCTTTGTCTGGGTGGGCCAGGCTGCCTGCCTGGATCCCACTCAAAAGTGCCGCATACCACATCTACCGTGCTTTGTGCGGGAATCTTACCCATCCCCGCGACTCCTAGGTTTGCATGCAGTTCTCTCTGAAGGCATTTGGCCTCATGAGTAGCCTTCAGAATGCGTGATTTCCTCTTAGAGACCTCGTTAGTTATTACGCCCAGTTGTGATGCCACGGTTTCATTTTCAGCTGTCTCAATTGCAATTACTGAGATTGCCTTAAATAGCTTCTTGTCCACTATTGTTAGCTTCTGTAGAGGTGTTGCCTTACTCATCCTTTCGTCTCCCGGGGTTCCATCCTCGGATGAACACAATGGTGGATACTCCTGCTCACTTAACAGCTCCGCTTGGTCCGTTGCATTGGGTAGGGAGACCGGGGCCATTATAGTGCTGTGTTCATCCTCCTCTTAACTGGAGTCCTTGTTTAACTGGGATTCTTGGGGTGCCATGTGCTTGCCCGTTCTTCGTACTCGGCGTTCCTGCCTCGCTGTTTTTTCGTCGCGGACCATATCCAGGGATTTGTGCTACTTTTCCGAAGATGAAGCTGTCTCTAATAGACCTTTTTCAAGCAATCCTACAACGCCTGGCGTGCGCGCGGAGCACTATGAGAAACGTTGGTACGCCGAGAGAAGCAGCCTTTCCTCCGTCTGCTGCTCACTGGCGCCGTGCGAGCACAAAACGAAAGAAACAGGCCACCACTTGTTCAATAGGGCTCGAACGCACCTGCATGTATTCGCAACTTTCACCGTCTATAGAAGGCGCTAGTGCAAGCCCAACATGGCTGTCGTTTGGGGGATGGTGCAGCCGGTGCTCCGGCAGCCGCCACCGGTGTGCCCGTCACTTCGACCTGTGTAGTATTTTCAGCTGCAGCCCCCGTGACTGTGTTCCAATACTCACCGTAGACGGCTAAATAGACAGCTAATTGGACGGCGGCCATCTTAAGTCCTATTTAAGTTCTCACGTAGCCAGCAAAATAGACAGCTCCGAGAAGACCGCATCGTAGACAAATACAATGCAGGCTACTTTGCTGTCTAAACAAGATGGCGGCTCAGCGAATCGCTCATATGGATCAAATCTCGCCGAAACGGTCGTCTGCACACAAGCTGACGCTTCTCCAGGCGCTCAATGTGAGTAATGTTTATTTCTTTTTGATTTCAATACGAAATAAGCCAGAAAATACAACTGTTACGTTTGTTTATTTTAGCTTTTTTTTCTCGACGAGATGTGGCGCATTGCCGCGTAAAAACCGTCTAAATGTGTTCCATTTCTCGGACAGCATGGGCTCGATGCTGTCTTTTAAGCAGTCTTCGTAGACTGTCTACGTGCTGTCTAATAATTGGAACACAGCCCGTGTTGTCAAGGCTTTGCTGAGAAGGTCATTGACTCTAGCCAGTATTATATCGCACACTGCGTGTTGAGAAACGCGTGTGCGGCGTATATTGATGGAAAAGAAGTTTCGAACGCCGGGCACATCGTCTGCTGTGGTGTACAGCTTTGTGAACGCTGCTCGTGCCGCGGCCGGGGAAGACCAAGTGTCCGTGCTCGTGCAAAGCAGAAAACCTCGCGTTTGACTGCACGGCGTCTGTACAGTGGCATCCAACATATTTTGTGATTCTTCAAGCTCAGCAAGCAAACAATAAAGATAAAATCATTGCTACTACGACTCGCAGTAACTGTCTGACTTCACAATAACTGTACTCGAAATTACCAGCGACAAAATATAAAGCAACCGCGAGCCGCCATATTGAAGCCGATTGAACGATGGCATGGGCTGGTTGCATGGGCATCTCCCAAACGACGGTTCCGACGGATGCCGCATGGCGACGCCACCTTCTGTGAAAGTTGCGAATATCTCCGCATGAAATGTGGAATTAATTATGCAGTCAATGTAAGTATCACTGCACGGGTGTACGTGATGAAAGGTATGCGGGTTGTTGCGTACCGATACATGTGCTCAAAACATGCTATCGTGAGGAATGTGAGCTGGAACACTGAAATCATGGTTATTCAACGATCAACTGTCATAAAGCGTTGTGGCTTTTGTTACAATCGAGGTTTGATTGGGTCATTAACACAAGACTGCACAGAAGTATTACAGCTATAGAATTTTTAAAATTTTCATGGACCAGTCATGCGCTGAAAAAGAAAAAAACACATTTTACATGTTTAAAGACAAAGATCTGGAACTAGAATTCACGTGCGAGATAGATTGCTCTAATAATTTGCAGTTTTTTATAAGATGCCTATGTGTCGGTGGAACATGTTTGCTGGCAGAATATTCCGCATTGGGTAAGACCCCTATTGAATTTCGCGTTGGCAATTTCAAATGCTGCTCAGTGACGAATAATGATATTGTACTTACGCTCAGCGAAGAGAGAAAAAAATCTTGGGAACATTACATTCGCAATGGTTTTCATCTTCAAGAAGGCGTGGTGTACTGCCTATATGATTTTGCATCGGCTTGTGAACAGCTGATTCGCACTGCAAAGAAAAGAATTAATAACGACCTTCATATGCGAATAAACCAGGAATGGTGCATTTATTCCATGCATACGTTTTGCACAGCCTGAAAGGAAGTTGTGATGCGATACAAGGTGAGGGTAGTCTTTTCCGCCCCATATTTGCTTAGTATCATTTCTTCCGTAGAGCGCAAAAGGTCGCAGGGGTCTGCAGTACGTGGGCAAAGAAAAGTACTATGAGAGGCATGCCAATTGTTCTTTGAACTGTTGTGCAAGAGCTGCTGGCCGAATTCTGCTGACTGAAGAAGAGATGGTTTTTTTTCGTAGTAACTATAAGATGTTACCTGCACTGAATAATAAATAGTCTTCTCACAATAGTTTCTCCTGTATTGCATATTAACTAGTTAACTAGTTGGTGGAGGCAATGAGTGGTGGACGCTTTGATACAGAAGGTGTTCATGAACTCTTCAAGTGAGCGAACTATACGGAACGCACTTCTTCAAACGATGCAACTGAATCGTGACGTTTCACCCCCCTTGTTTCGCAATATCGGCGCAGTTGGCTGAACGACGTTGTATAAGCTTCTAGATGTTTGTTCAGGACTGCTGTCTTTTTGCGTGACACCCGATAGGAAGTGCACACTTTACTAATTGGGCCTAACGCCCATCGAATGCCTTTGACATCTGGGGCGTCACTCAAACAAATGTTCAAGGAGTGCGATGAGGAATCCGTGTAAAATCCGTTGGGAAGTCCTTCCGGATAAGCACCTGTACCCCTGGAGGATCAACAACACTGTTTCTTCCCCTTTCACACTGTCGGACTTATCCTTGGCGCCGGATCATCGAGCCATTCAACTGGCGGGAGCTGCAGACACCTAGTGCCTCAGGGTTGTCCGACGGCTGGATATATAAGGCTGTTGTACATTACTCCCCTTCCTTTTCTTCTTGCCCTTCTTCTTCGTGTCTATCCTCATGAGAGGCAAATCAGCCTCCCGCTGCAAGAGTAAGTCTTTCAATACAAAGTATGGGTGTGGCGACAAGAGCCAGCTACCAGTGGATATCGGCCGGGCCAGGTCTCAACAAATTGGAGGTGGTGCTGGGATCCTCCTAACCTCCCAACACCGCGCAAGATTGGGATAACTCGAGCAATCGAAGTGGCACTGTCTCATTCCACAGGCAAATGTGTGGGAAGGGTGTGGCACTTTCCCCTTAGTTCTCGCTGTGCTACGCATATAATAATCATTCAGAAGCTTCCCTGGCTTCCAGGTCCGGGCCCGAGCACACGGCGACGGAGATACGGAGGGTCAGTCAGTGAGGCGTCAGTTAGTGAAGTCTGTTGCTCAAGGAATAACATGATTCGCTCGACCAGAGAAGAACTGTTTGAATATGTAGTGCGGTCAGTCGGACTGCTTAAAAGTATCAATAGATGATGCCGTGAGAGCAGTGACAAGTTTTGAAGAGGGTCGCTGAGGAAACATGCGATTACCTCCTACTGCGACGGAGAACGAACCATGAGCGCTGCTGTCTCGTTGATGTAAATCGTCCAGCTGGTGAATTTTATTCCATCTTTGAGGTGAAATGAAATGAAATTGAATTTATTGAATTAAATATGATAGGAGCTTTGCACTGACCGGCGTAACAAGGCCCAGATATGAGTTGGAGCTTGTGTTGAACACAGGATTTGTTCTGATTACAAATTTGATGGCAAAATCACTGCTTGTGTTTTCTGAAGTCAGTTACTGCTGCATTTCTGTTTCTGTAAATATCATATATGGAACGTACGAGCGAAGGGCCGAACAACACATGCTTAGGCTACGATGACGTTCGTCGTTTACCTGCGTTAACATGATCGAAGGCATTCAACGAGCGCCGTACGGCTGAACGAAAGCTTGAGAACAAGAAGCGACGCAGTAACTCGCACAATGTCGGAGTGGCTCGTCTGTCTCAATGCATGACGGGGAACCATTGTTTCTGTCGCTGTTTTTCATAAGGTCTTGCGGTAAAT